AATAACAGAGTTCTCAATATTAAAGCTAACGAAAAATAGTTACTAAGTAAAAATAGTTCTTTAATTTTAAAGTATTATATTTTATAAGTATTTATAATACGAAATAAACTATATTTATGACACAAAACAACGACAGAATAATAAAATTGGTTTTATAAGTTTATTTGAGTCATAGAGACGTAAATCGAGCGATTAAACGGCTTAATAGCTAATACTATTAAGTGATAAATGCAGCAGGCCGCGTATGAATAATTCTACTGGATGGATACAATGTACGACTTTCACTAAACGACTCCATATTTTCAAAATCCCCATAGAGCAATAATATTCAATGAGGCGAGTGAGACGGGTGTATTGTTGCACGTAATGGCAACTGAGATGGGTGATTGCAAGGGACATGGGATGGCAAATCCTGGAGATTAGCGCGACGAGAGCGACATGTGGCCTCCCGGCACTTAGCGATCCGCGACCCTCCGTAGGCATCCCTATACCCCGGACTACAGACGCGCGATACCGACGCAATCCCGTAACGCATGGCCGTTCATGTCAGCCTATTCGTCATATATGACTGTTAAATATTCATGATTATGACTGTGACAAATTATTTTGTGTCTAAAGTCTAAACTACCTATTTGAGACTGAGCCTATAGGCATCCGTAGTTAGAAAAAAATGATTATATTGGAACTTTTTTCTAACAATCGTATCATAAAGCGGTGGGTAGTGATAGTATCAGATTCAAAAATCTTTTTTCAAGTACTTATACACTTGTTACAAATGTGCATTTTGAAGTGTGTATACAAAATGTGCGATATCATCTTGATTTGTGAACGGCCTGAATGTAAAGGCCGGTGCGGGTCACTTGGCCGCGGGTGCATTGAGTGGCGTTCAAGCGGAACGAGCTACACAGAAGGTAGAGAACGCGTATGATGCCATATGTCGTACGCATTACCGTTCTATGCTTACTACCCTCCAAGATTGATGACTACTCTATGCATTCGAGCGTATTAGGGCATGTAAATGTTACGTGATTACTTAATCTAATGGATTTGGAAATTTTATTACTTAAAAAAATATTTATAAAATTACATATAATAGTATTTTAAAATATTACAATATGTTAGCAATTGACACTTGGTTAATTTTCATACCGTAAATTTTTAGCTATAAAATTTCAATTATTCAATATTAAACGATGTCAAAGCTTGTTGAAAATCTTCACTTAGATTTTTCCACATCGCTTTAGTTAGTTTGCTCATTCAATTAATTATTAACAGAAACGGTTGAGATCGTTATCGGGTCATCGAGATTTCAGATTCACGTTTAATTACTTTGTCCTAATCCTACGAACGCTCTAATTCGTCCATGGTTTAGTATATAAATTAAAATACTAATTAGTAGACTAGAAGATGAAATATTATAAAATAAGTGATAATTTTTCGTAAGGTAAGAGCCCCACATATCATTATAAATACTTTTACGTCTTTAAAATAAAGTCATTAGTTAAAAGTATTAATTTATAAGTTTTCTACCTAAAGTACCCACAGACGGTCACTTCATAGTCCGCCAAACCATTTTTCTCAGGAACGCGTGAAGGTATCAAGTTGAAATTAATATCAAATACTTCGTTCCCTTGAAGCTGAAAAAAAAGTTACTTCTCGTTGACCTGAAATCAAATAAATTAAAATCTAATAATAAACAAATATATGATTCTAAGACCTTAGTTTCTCCCGTAACCATGATTGTTGTAAAGCTTTCGAAACACCAGGAACTAAAAATCAAAATAAATTCGCGAAAAAATCCGAAAAGATTATCCGATATTTAATATATATCATTGATTTAATATTTCATACTACGTTCCTTAAAACTTTCCGTGTACGAGACTAGTATTTACCCGTTTTATTTTATTTCATGAAGATACTTTTAATATTTAGACTAATCTCAACATTGAACATGCACGTATAAAAAGTTAATGTAGAATATAAACAAAATAGTGAAGCTTGTTGAGAGCATATCATTCGTTTTGTAGGGTCGTTTTCACCCTTGTTATACCATCGAAACACTTGGCACAAAAAGTGTAATGGAGTTAAGTAATGACCCCCCATAGAAAACATCTAAACACAAGCTGTGTGAGGCGGGTAAACTTTTATATCTATTGTTTTTGCCAATTTTTGTGTATGAGTAATTCAATAATAATTGTTGTGCTTAAATTTCTGTTCAGTTTTATTTATCGTGGCTAATTGTAACTTTTTATTTATTTTCTTATTCATTTGTAAGTAAACGAGTAAAAGTAAACTTAAAATTAAAAAAAGTATTTATGTTCTAATTTTATAATAGTAATATTACCTAAGTAATTAAGTATCTAATGAAATATGTTTTTTTTTCATTTAGCAAAAAGACATCCCCTTGACGGTCGGGGAAGCCACATACGAATCAAATGTATCACTAATAACGGGCCCGGGGTTGGTTGGACCCTCGCGATTCAATTATCGCGCTCACATTGATCTGCCGACGGGTGAAAACGATACTTGTGAGATATTGCTCCATTGTTTTTTCTCGCGGCTAAAAAGTTACGCACGCGTCAACGTTTTGATAAGGGTGTATTTATGTGTAAAGCAAATATAAATCTCCAACGTGGATCATTTGGGAGTAAAAGTCGTGAGATACTTACACATACACTATTTGGTTTAGTCTAATGTACTTACAAAATGTTTATTTGTACTCAGAAATAATTATTTTTAGGGCAAAATGTACATCTGGTGACTAATTAAGTAGCATAGCTTGAAGTTTAATAAATATAAATAAAACAGCTATTTTAGATTACTAAAAATAAAACATAGATTGAAGTTTAATAAATAAATTTGGTAGGTGGAATGACTTAGAAATTTTAAAAGGTAAAGTTTTAACCACTATCGAAGAAAATATTTCATACATATTCGTCACATAAAACAAAATAAAGCATCAGGATGAGGTGCCTAAATAACTAACAACTATATAAAATATATCTTCTGGAAAATATGTGGTACTAAAATGGAAAAGATAGTATGATAGTCTGTAATTTAGATTTGTAGCGTGGTGCGAAAGGTTTGAGCAGAATGCGAGAGGCACTGCGGGAAACGGATTGTTTAGTAAATTCAATTACCACACCACAGACTGAACCTTTGCTTTGATTTTACGATAAACAGCTCTATCAAGCTGACTCGCGTGTGAAAGTTCATTGTTTGTTTACTAACATATTTCTTTTCTTTGTTTTATATCAGGCGTATTTTATACTTGTAAATGTATTTTATTGCATAAAATGTTATACATGACAAACAACTGTACTTACATGGCAAATGTGAAAGTTGATGATGATGTTACTCAAGAAACATTACAAGATTGAGTGACTCTTGTAATAAGATATTTTATTTACTGCTTTATGATAAGATTTTTTCTTGCAGAAAGGTTTAAAATGCCATTTAAAATTATCAAATCAATATTATTAAACGACGAAAGCAAAAATTGAACAATTAGGTACCCTCTTTATTTTTTTAATTAGGATAGGGAAAAATTAGCTATAAAAGCAGAGTTTAAATATGTAAATATATGGTAGAATTAAAAACATGCAATAGCCATATGGCGTTAATAACAAATCACTTATTCTGATGATGTTCCAGTAATTATCATTAACTTAGAAATAAAACAATAGGGTGGATCACGCGGTGCAGAGTGAGCACTGAATATTCAAGCCCTAGTAATTATTCTCAACAGATGCAAATCATTATATTAATTTTTGGAACAGTGCTAGTGGGTTAATTTTAAATAACATTTATAATAGAAAAAAATAGACAAACTCTAAGGAAATTATTAATTCTCAACAATTTTCAAATATATCAATATTTTTATAAATAAAAACTTTAAAAAATGTAAAGGTAAGTTTTTTATTTAGAATAATATGAGTCTGGGTCAGCAAGGTTAATTTATAGAACAATCGATAAAACAACATTTTAGTTCAACGCCATATTTTAATATTCAATTAATCCGTTTTTACGCCTTTGGAAGAATTCGACTATCCTCTATCCCGACTCTATCGTTAGATCCACTTAAATTATTGTATTGCCATCGGAAATAGGAAAACTTAAAAAGTTTCAAGTCAATAAAGCATTTTGAAAGTAGATATAAAATTTTCTAGATTTGTTTACATAATTAGTCGTAGAATTTTATTATACCCATATTAAAATTAGATTTTCATAGGAAAGTTAAAGAATTTTTGTAAACAAATATGAATTTCAGCTTGGTTTATAAGATACTTTGATAAAGTGACACTAAATGCAAAAAATAATAAGTAGGTGAATGCCCTACTTATGTGTATATGATATTCAATACGTATGTCTTTATTGTCTTTTAAATGTGTCTTAAAATTAAAGTTATTTACCAAAATATGTATTAAGTTTCGGAAGTTAAACACTAATAATGAAAATATTAAGATTTTAATAATTTAAACAACAAATGTTAGATAATTCAAGAATATACTTGCAAATTCTATTTTTCTTCTCATTGAAAGGGTTAAGGTTAGAACAATAGAGTTTACCTCCAGCAGAGGAATATTTCTCACGAAATATGAACAATCGCGTGCAGCTTATTACACTTAAACATACTGTAGATGATGGACTGTATTAAAAGACAATGTTTTTAATATAATATTACGCCATATTCATGATAAACTCATAAGTATGGCGTAATATTTTTTGATATAATTTGAGGACATAATAATTTTGTTTTGCAGTCCTAAAGAGGACTGTACAGTAAAATTGATATTTTATTTTAAGTGAAAAATTTGTCTTTAAATTAGTGAAAGAACTTTTTAAGTAATTTAAATAATAGTTACTATAAAGATATTGTTGTAAAAGCGTCCTTATCGTTCATATCGGAGTGATTATTAGGCAATATATTTGGAATGGTCATTTGATCATGATTACGTGGACAACAACATTGGGCATTATACATTATGCACTATTTAAAAATGGGTGGTAGTGCGATATTATCTGTGGCGGGCGCGGCGCCATCTGTCGGGCAGATGCCGCTGACGTCACGCGAAGCCCCGCAGGCCACCGGAGCCGGCACGCGCCACATCTCCCTCCGACAGCTGATCCATCCTGATTTTGTTCGTGTGTTTTATGATTTCCTACCGGCTGTTTTTTAAAGGCTTCCGATTATTACTATTATTTCCTCCAAAATTATTAGGCGACTCTAGAAATTTGATTGGATTTGGAATGAGTTAGATGTTATCTGTGACTTTAAGAACGAAAAGGAATTTATTTGTATTCATAAAACTAATGAATTTAAATAGTGTTCGTTTCTCTGACTAGATGATAATCAGATAGTAATTACTGTTGCAAGTATCTATTTAATTATATAACGCTGTACCTACCTATTAAGGTAGATTAGCAAAATATTCCAAGAGTAAAAATGTGATTATCTGTAAAATATTACTTAACTTACTTACGCATACGGATTTCTCCGTATGATATATAGCTATATTGAATTATCTAATTAATCATTTTTTCATTGAAACTGAATTTTTAGTATCAGCAATAATTAACTCATATACTGCGCATTACATTTACATATATATTTGGGTACATAAAGAGCTCTGGAAAATAGCAGAGACCGTGCTTGCATAAGACTTTTAAGCTACATCCTTAGCTGAATATTTAGTCCCATTTTCTAGAAGAACGACCGTGCTCACCTCACTCAGCTACGTAAATCGAGTGAACATCTTATTCAGCTAGCATTTGGACAAAGGGTTGTGTCGGTACTCAATGCCACACTTTATTTTGACAGACCTTGAATATTTGAGTCAAACATTTTTATGGCCAAAGCAAAGGTTCGCTACGTGCAGAAATATGGATCTTAGCGTAATGGAAAATGTCAGTTAATAATGAGTAAATCAAACTGCGCCACAACTGTTAACAAATTAAAAGAGTATTACTAGGTATGTATTTATAGTACTAGGTAATTATTTAACTGCCTCTTGGTCTAGTTCAGTGGCTAGCATGTACAGCTGCAGATATGGAGGGCCTGTGATCGTGTCAGGAACAAGTAGGTAGGTATTTATTGGGTTTTAATCAAGGAATTCTTAATAATAGCTTGGAGATGGAAAGTAAGAAAAATAGTAGTTTTACTATTTCCTTCTCTTCTCATTATATTTCTTTGTTAAAATATATTTCTATGCACGGTATAAACAAAAAGCTAAAAATTGATGCTCACGCGATGGTTTGTTCGTAAACGTTACAAGGGCGAGACGATGCTTAGATAAATTATAATCATCCAAATAAGATAATGCTTGTGATACTGTATGACGGTAGAACTAAATATTGAGTTTATTATAACTAATTTAATACTATCATATAAAAATAATCATGTCGATCCCTTGTACTGTTGCCTATAAGATGGGCAAACCAACATATATACATATGTATGTATTTTCGCGCTTACTTTATTAAGTACTAGCATTGCCTGTGGCTCCGCCCGCGTTTAGATGACCAAAAACCAAATTCTTAGGTTTTACATATTAATATACTCTTACAATGCAGTTTTTGTACTTTTCTCAGAAATGAGGCATTTTCCCGCGGTGAAAAGTATCCTATATGTTGACCCGGATAACCAGCTATCACCATACAAAATTTCATCAAAATCCCTCCAGTGGTTTTTCCGTGATGCGGTAACAGACAGACAGACAGACAAAAATTCTAAAAACTATAGATTCGGCCTCTGTATCGATAATAATGTCTATTTGAATAAGATTTTCCAAAAAATATTTCATGTACAGATTCGGCTCAGTTAGAATTTTATTATATGTATAGATAAGGATAATTCTTAGGATATAAGGATATGGATGTATTTGTAATCTTGAATAATAATTATTTCTATTTGTTTCAAAAGTACTATCGTAATTTATATTGAAGATATTTTTTACTTGTTGATACATATTTTTTACTTGTTGATAATAAGTTAGACCTCATTAAAATGTTATTAACCCACTTTTTACTGCAACATCATAAGTATGTATATTTTCCTAATTCTAGATGGCCACTGAGTGACCTGTGTCTTATATAATGGCTCCGTAAATAGCACAGGAGCTGATGATGCGATTTAGTAGTAATTTTATACCGCATAAATTTTACCTTTAGAACTTAATTAGTTTTTAAGTACAAAGAACTTGGTAGTTAGTTTATTGTATATGTCGATTGACGGAATTGTTATTTGGAAAGGACGAAAGCACGTAAATTATGAAATGCTTTACAGCATTGCTTTACAGCATTGCTTTACAGCAATCGAAACGTCAGGAACTAAAAATCAAAATAAATTCGCGAAATGTCCGAAAAGAAAGTTTTATTTAAATGTCAAATATTCGCGTGAATCTAAGAAAGTATTAAATTACTTCATTATTAACAATTTTCCAAATTATTATTCACTACTTTATGGTCACTGTTTTTTCGCGGTTTATGTGTTTTCATTCACACCGACTTCGAAAATATTTGATTATATATGTATAGTAAATGAAAACTACCAATTAGTTATTTTTTACTTTTTAGTGCTTTTGTTTGAAGTCGGTTTTAATTTGAATTTACCTAATCAATTAAAATGGATGATGTGGATTAAAATTACAGCTTTCATACATACCCTATATCAGCTTACGTGTTTTTAATGCTTTTAACAAAAGCTATTCTGAATCTTACTTTTTGCATTTTGGCTATTTACTCATTTTGTAGATACCAATTATGAAAATTTCCGTTGCTTAAGTATTTTTATATTGGCAATAGCATTATGTAAACTTTTATGAATTATGTAGGTATAAACAATTTTTAATATTAATAATTAAAAAGAAATTAATTTCTTAAATGTAATTATAAACATTGACTGCATTATTTGTACCCAATTTATAACATTATTTTTTATTTATAACATTTACTGCATCGGCGGTGTAGTGGCTAGCATGTACAGCTGCACATCCGGCGGTCCTGAGTTCGAGTCCCGGGTTAGGCCAAGTCTAGTTATTGAGTCTTTCTGTTATGGGTCACAGTAACAACCCGGAGTTGGTGAAGCCGTCGGTCCTGCGCCTTAATTCTCACTGGTCGTATCGAGTACTCGTGCCACCGGAGTATGAGAGTGACAGGAATAGAGAGTGCACTTGTGTCTGCGCGTACACTTATGCACTATAATATCTCCTGCGCAGATGGCTATTCACAATGAGATTGACCGCCGTGGCCGGAATCGGTCGGGAGAACATTATTATTATAACATAATCACATTAATCACTTCCATAGTTTGACTGGAAGAGATCTCTTCTAGAGATAAGACACCCACGTTGACCCTGTATGGTTTTTGTTACACTGATTTTAAAGTGCAATAAAGAATATATAGTAATTTATAAGCTTGTGTATGCCAACGGTAGTTAATATTTAAAAGTTAACAGTAGATTAACTGAAGAATTTCTCTAATAAGGTTTTTTTAAATAGTTTCATGTACAAAAATATGATAAAAAAAAACATCAAGTTTTTATTATAAACACGAAGCAATGGTTGATAAATTGGCTAGTTCTACCTTTGGAGCATATTCTCAAATGCTCAACTTTTATTTAGGTGCCGTTTAAACTTTGTTTGGCTTTTAGAATGTTAAATTTTCAGTCTAAAGTATGAATGTGAACAAAACACATGAGTAACATAAAATTATACTTTTTGTGTTGACATTTGTAAAAGAACGTCTCAATCAAATTTGTTTTAGATAAATCTACGTATGTTAAAATTACATTTTACACATATTTATGGAGATCTAAATGGTGGCAAACAAGATGGCGAACAAGGTGGCGAATAAGCATAACTAAATGCGGAGCTGAGCCGTCGGCATGCGCCTGGATTCAATTTCAGCCACCGTACACCTCGCAACTTGGCCACGGTTGCGTCACGCCCGCCGCTTTCTTAATGTACCTCATTAACCCACGAAACTCGTTCACACTAAAACAATGTTCAACTCGTAACCCGATTCTCAGTGTAGTCAAATCGCAATAAGTATACAACAAAAATCTCTCCACACAAATGAGAAAGCTTCTCAGCTAGATTTCTCGTTTTGAGTACTCATAATCATTAATTATAAGACAAATACGCGGGTACGCTGATTAAAAATATTTGCTCAGTAAACAAACGTCCCTCTTCCCCTGGTTACCCCCAGACACCGGTTCGGAGTGGTGGGCAAACAAGTACATCAAAGAGCTGCAGTTGTGAAAATTGTATAATATGTACGTAGATAATATTATGTTGTTGTGATATTATTGCTATTTACACAAAAACAGTACTGGCACTGCAATTTTCGTGTTTTTTTAATAAACCAGATTCGGGATTTTACTTATATAAGGGCGGATAAACACACATATTATTTACATGCGGGTCGATAATTCGCGCTTCACTCCATATGAGGAGTAAACGAAATAAGTTTCGTGGCGTTTTCAACTCTACTTATCTTTCAAAATTCTGCTCTAACTGATGAAAATTGCTGAGCTGAGATTTAGTGTTTAAGTTGTGAAATATTTATATGATAGTAGTACAAGTTTTATAAAGATGATGATGAACTATGTTTGATAATTTTACTTCTTCAACACTCGCCCGTTCCTGGAAAATCTTAGTGCTTTCTTCTAACTTACCTAGAGTAGGTATTAAATAACGTATAAAAACTAGAAAATTTAAAAATTTAAGTAATTTTTTAGTATAGATACGAAATTTGTAAGCATACTGACTCTATATTACGCGGTTAACGTTGTTTGCTAAATATATTACTCGCTATTGACACAGTGCGATCATTAATACAGGCAAGAGCCCACTTATTAAATTTAATAAGTGGGGTGACTCTTTTGAAGGGAGCGACGATAGAACAGTGTTTGTTTTATTAGTTTTGATTTTATGGTTAATGGCATTTTATTCATTTGTCTGCTGCGAAAATAGACTGTGCTATATATATATTGCTGACTAAAATTTTAGTTAAGTTAGAGAATGAAATTATTTTCAGTTTTAGATTTTTTTTTTTGATTAGTGAGATTATTTAAAACGGTACGGGATAAAACCTCACTCGTATATTATTTTTAGGGTTCCGTACCTCAATAGGTAAAAAAGGAACTCTTATAAGATCACTCTCTTGTCCGTCTGTCCATCTGTCTCTTTGTCCAGGTGTCACCACCGATTTTCTCAGGAACGGGTGGATCTAGCAAGCTGAAATTTATACCAGACACTCAAATCTATAGTGCCTATTAGGTGTATAAAAATTAAGGTCCTGAGTCAACACGATAAAAAGATATGGGCAAATTTAGATTTTTGCGAAAACTTGTAAGTACCAAAATTTACCTTAATTTTCATCTTTTTTTTATTTTTCGGAATTTTCCCTTTACTTGTGCTGTAAGGCCTTGCTCTTAACCAAAATTAATGATTCTAGGTCAACCGGAAGTTCTCTATAGGTTTTGGGTCGAAAACCTATATTCCGTTATAGTCCGTTGACTTAGAATCACAAAATTTGGCAAAAATCAAGGTCTTACAGCAATAAAGGAAAAAATCCAAAAAATAAAAAAAAGTTGAAAATTAAAGTTAAACAGATTTCCCACTTTGTACGGAACCCTCGGAGGGCAAGTCCGACTCGCACTTGTTCGTAATTTTATATACATAAGTATATAGACTTCCTAATATATTCTCTCTGTCGCATTAGGTAGACATAGGATTATAATTTTTTATTTAGAATATTAATGACTATCTATATATTTTTGCAACCACCAATGTCTCTTACGAAGTTTCGTAGGTACCAATCAACGGTCAATATACCCATATCAGCGTAAAATAGTAGCGAAATATGCCGATTTGTTGCTACGTTGCAATGTGAAAAAATGAAAAATGTGGAAATCTTAAGAAATTCGCATATATGTAAGGATTTGTTATTATTTTAATACGGAGATATTATTACAATAACAGTCCTTACATATAATATATTTATATAAGATCTCTTTAAACCATTGTTTAAGTAGTTAAATTATGATAATCATGTCATACGCTATGGGTAAAGACAGTATTTATAGTAAGTTATAAGTAGGCAATGGTTTTTAATTAATAGATGAAGTTTTTTTTGTAAGGATAAAGTCTACAATTTATTATAATGTTTACAATTAATTAGTGGCTTTTATGAGATAAACATTTTTTTGAGTAAATGAAAATCAAATTGTAAGTTAGTCCTATATATAAAACTATAAAAATATATATAAAAAACTATAAAACTATAAAATGGCTTTATTTAAGTGATAGATTATGTAATACTAGCAACTCACCCTCGCACCGCTCGGGTTCGTCCCTAGTTACTTTATAAAGTTAAGTATACATTTCTCAAAAATGAGATATTTTCTCGCGGTAAAAAGTATCATATATGTTGACCCGGATAACCAGCTACCACACTACCAAATTTCATCAAAATCCTTCCAGTGGTTTTTTTTGCGATGTGGTAACAAACAGACAGACAGACAGATAGAGAGACAAAAATTCTAAAATCTATAGATTCGGTCTCTATATCGATAATAATGTCTATTTCAATAAGATTTTCCAAAAAAATATCTAATGTACAGATTCGGCTTAGTTACAATTTTATTATATGTATAGATTTGTAATTAAATTATCGGCGTAAGCCTTATCTAAGGATGGAAGTAACTAGAAAAACGTTAGATACATATACAGCGTCTAATATAAAAGCTAGTTTTTCAATATTCATGTACCTACATAATTACTTTTAATAATAAAGCATATCGTTTTGATACAAAGCGTAGGCACGTGATTCTGTTCGCGGAAACGATTGGCAGTTATAAAACAAATTGGAAAAGTAAGAGGTTTTGTTGCATATTGTATATCAACAAGTACTTATACATAATATGTATATAATGTAATAATAATTTGCGTTTGACCAGCTCATAAGTTGTTAGGTTGTTGTTAGTTATATAATATATATTTTTTTAACAATAGGTAGGTACTTGCGGAAATAATGCCATAATTAGGTTTAAAAATACGCTCAGTGTCACTTTACTGTTATTTTGACAAAATAGATGTTTTATTTCATACTAGCGACTTATACTCACTTCGCTCGGGTGTGTCCCTAAGTACGTTTTAAGCAGATAATTATTATATTATCGTTGAATAACATCGTGTTTAAGTCACAAGATAATTTATAGGTAGATATATAAATAGCCAAAGATAAAACAGTTCTGTAACTTTCTCTCCTCTGTTTGTCAATAAAGTTAATAAAAAACTCGTTATGGTCGAATTTTGACCACTGGACGAAAGCTAGAAAATTTAAATAACAGACGAATGAAATAATGAGTTATTTTCTAACAGTAGTAATTGCATTGCGCATCATTTTTATCCAGGAAAATCTAGAGCAAAAACTCGATATATTTTATTGTAAGCCGGCATAATTATTATTTGATATTATGTATATGTGAATTAACTTTTATGTATACTACCTTGCAGTTGAAGTTGCTGCAGAAGCTGACGACACGTTAGGCTCAGTTTGTGGTGACCCTACTTGTGCCAGCAGTCGCGGGTTCGAGTCCCGCTGCGGGCATTCATTTGTGTGATGAGCACGAATGTTTGTTCCAGTCATGGGTGTTTATATTCATAATATGTATAATGTATATTTAAAAAGTTACATTTATATGTGTAGTATATCAACTATCTGGTATCCTTAACACAAGTCTCGTAGCTTACCTTGGAACTAGATGGTGTTGTGTGTTAATGTCCTAACATATTTATATTTAAGTTATTATTTAACGTGTAGGTATGTCCAAACTGTACGGATGATGGATTTTTATACTGGACATGTTTATTATTACTAAATAGTTTTATCGGTTTTTGAATTTAATTAATCCCACCAAAGGTTTTCTTATGGTTAGGTATGTCGAAGCACATTATGGGTGCAGGAACATCTCGCTGTGCTACCGGGTTGTATCTTTTAAATTATATACCCAAAAACAACTTATATAAATAAAGATCTTACTCATGTACTTTCATTGTAGTATTTAAAACATATGTTTGGAAAACCGTTCGTAATTTTATTTTAAAACAAAATAAGCGCCCGGTAAACTTTTACAGCAATTACGACAGTTGATTATTTTTTTAATAAATTTAGCTAAATGTTTACACAATTAATAAAAGTATTTAAGTTTTATTGGTAAAAGTAATTTATTCGTTCAGTAATTAAACAATTAAAAAATATCACATATTTTGAAATAAAAAAACTTAATTATTAAATTTGGAAGTACCTACTGAGGAATATATAAAAAATAAAGATTTGATTTAAAGTTGTTAAATTCATCTCATATATATATATATATATATATATATATATATATATAATCAAAGTGTCTATTCGTCCTGTAATAGGACGAATGAAAAATAATGATTCGTCTTTTACAAAATATATAACTTACTAGTGAATTAACCTCCCTTCACTCGGGTGCGTCCTTAGGTACGTTTTAATTAAATATCTATAGTTATTGAGAGTGTACCTTAAGAGAAAGACGATGTAGATTTTTCTATAGGCCTTTTTAAGACTTACAATTTTCTAGTGCATTGTTTCGATGTATCTCTTAAGGTTTAGTCAGCGTTAAACAAGTAACATTCTAAGACCGACTCGATAGAACCAGTTATTGTTTTCCCGTGGGAATGAAATATTTTCCTGTAGTAAAAGGTATCACAAATGTTGACCCAAGTAATAAGTTATTTTCTTGTGCAATAAAGTGTTTAAGTTATCAATGCACAAAATTTAGTTAATTTTAACTACTCGGTTCATTACTTTTTTTGCGAAACGCGCACATCGATTTCGCTAAGATACTGTTTTATTATATGTACATATAACAAAAATGTAACGGATTGCTGTCTGTATATGGAATAAAATATATATATTATTGGGACCTTTATCAACGCAAATAGCAGCCAAAACAATGATTGTTAAAATTTCTGTTTGTTCCTGTGCGTTTGTGCACGCTAATCTCAGAAACGGCTTATCCGATATAGATGTTTTTTTCACTAGTATTTTGTGGTAAGCTTCACTTAATGTTTAGTGTTTCTTTCATGTCAATCGGTTAATAAATAAAAAAGTTATGCCAATTTAAAGAATCACGTCGAACCTTTGTTGAACTCTATTTAGTAGCATTGAATGAAACTTTACTAAATATATAAGTTATTTAAGTATATATAAGTTCATACATCAGAATAACAAATAGGCTACTTTTTATCCCGAAAAAATGTACATTTCCTGTGGGATAGATTCGTTTTTTGTTTGCAAGCAAAAGTTAGGATTTAAAAGAATAAGTTTCCAGATCGGTAGGTTAAGGTTATTTTTTATGCATACAACAGCAACAGCCTCCTTATTTATTATTCGTCCTATTAAAGTACAAATAATAATTTTGAATTCGTCCTTATTTTAAGTACGAATAGCAATAGCCATACCTAATATTTTTTAAAGTTTTTTTTTTAAGATTTAAAATATAAAAACAGCTTGTAGATATTTTTTGTACAAAACACAAAAAATAGTTAAGAATTTACATAATTTTAAAGAATTGTGGAAATTAGTTGATATTAGAGATATTATAATGCACAACTATGTGCGCAACTATAAGTGTACTGCTTTTTTCCTTCCACTTTTAAACTTCGATAAAACGACACTGTGACTGGCGACATGACCATTGGACCAGTGCTCTCCGAGACACGGAGGTGGAACACCGCTAATATCTCAACACCTGTTGACAGAAAATCCAATAACTGTACTTTGTTGAGCCCAAAATTCGAACCCAGGAACTCCAAATCTACAACTGTACACACAGTAGCCACTAGACCAACGAGGCAGCTTGTTATTAATAAGTACTCATGTATACCTTCGACTTAGTTAAGGAGATACTTTGTCGCATTCAACTAAAACACTAAGATCACCCCCCATTGATAAGAGCGATAAAACGGCAGGCGCGGCGCGTGCCACCTACAGCGCGTCTCTAAATTGCATTTTAATCTAATTATTTGACGATATAATTTTTCGGTCCCGTCATAATCAGATAACGAAGACATTATCGAATTAAAGTCCCGTTTGCAGTGAGTGCACGCCTGACTGTCGTACGTGCTTAATTATTTATAGTAATGTTTTATTATTATTATTTATGATTTTTACAGTTTTTTTTCTGCGCAGATTGAAAAATTTATTATTTTAGATCTAGATACTGATTCTTCTTCTTCTCCCTGCCCATTTCCCAATCACTTGGGGTCGGCGCAGTACATCTTCTGTACTGTTGAAAGGCTTTGGCAAAAGTTTTACGACCGACCGCCTGCCTGACGTCAACCCTCCTTGGAAATGCTATTGTCTCTTTTTGTCTGAATGGTGTCGCGGAACTCTTGTAATTATTATGCACTTTCGATTTTGTTGTCTTTTAAAACATTTTTATACTATTATTAAAATTTTGAATGTTATTTTCGGATACATTTCAAAATATATTTTGATTACACCATAAATTTTGTTTTAACGTTGTCAAATTCAAATCTATACTGACAATCTAGATGCTGATTCCATGTTCTAAATTATTAAGGCTCATAGGTAGGTACTGTTGAAATACTTAGCATAAAAATCTGCAATGTGCAATATAAGTAAATAGCTATAGTGTAACGATGTAGTTATTTGAAATAGACAAACGAGGACTAACGATGAAATCACCGAACCGATTTTCAATATTGTCAACATTTAGTATCTATTTCCCAATATTTGTGGCTATTAAATAATTCAAATGCCAGCTAAATAAATACTATTTGTGTATTACAACAATATCAATTGGATTTCGAGGGGTTTTGCGATTGTACCATACGATAACTATTTTCCCATAGTAACATAACACCAAAATAGAGGGCGCGAGGCACGCTTCATAGAAAGGATGTCTTTGGGGAAACCAAAAGTTATGAGACAAAGACTTTACAACTGAACGTGGGAAAATTGTTGCTTGAATATATAAATTTTACATTCATTCTACCTAAGGTTGGAAATTTGGAAAGTGATTAATAACATGGTAATTTTTATTTATCGCTTACATCATTAATTAATTGTAAAAATGAATACACGAATGATAAAGCTTCAATTATTTTATAAAAAAAAATTGAAACGAAAAAACTTACGCTGTTTAATTATGATGATTTGCGTGCTCTTGGAATGACGTTATATGCATCCAAATTGCTATTAGGTGTATTGCCAAGGATACTTCAATAACTATATATACTCAGCAAACACTACAAATATAACAGAATCTATGTATAAAAATCTCTAGATAGTATCAGATACTAGATTTTTTAACCAACTTCCAAAAAGGAGGAGGTTCTCAATTTGTCGGAATCATTTTTTATTATAATTTTTTGTTTTACTGAGTTTACTGCTGAATGTCATATTTTTCACATTTTATTTATTAATATATGCAATAAAAATAATTAATTAAGAAAAAAACAATTTGGGCACACAACATTTGTTCGATAAATATTCGGTTCGATTAAAATCTTTCAACCAAATAGACATTAAGCAATATTATAATCTTGATATTTAAATTATTTTGTCTCTGTTATCTAAATTGACCTACAAGAATATACTTTTTAACTGTGCTAAGTAAATCTTAATTCGTTACTAGTAAATCAAAGGCTAGTAATTGCTATTTGTCATCAATATTTGATTTTTTTCTATCGACTAGGTATAAGTCATGTGTTCACTGTCTATTAGCAGTCTGAATAATCTATGGCAATAAGAGAATAATGAATATGAATAAATAATATGAATATAATATGTATTTATTTAAATGGTTACATACAAATCTGTATATGCAAGGTTTAAGCTACACTTAGGCTTATTGATTCCGGTTGACTACACGCCTGTCGCATCCGATGAGCAGATTAGCGAACAGGCAAGAAGCTCTTGCAATGCGGACGCGGAGGCAACCCTCAATTACCGAGCGCAGGCGCACGCGACCCGGCCCGGGGGACACACGCGACCACCCCATGCAATTACAATAAAAAAATATAATTTTACTGTTATTTCTTTTCATATTTTTCTTATTATGTAATATTTGAATTACTATTTTTAAATATTGCAGGTATTTTTAATTTTTAAATTTATTTTTGATCTTTTTTTTTACTGACGACACTAATTTCGGGTATAGTATATTGGAACTCAAAATTAAAAAAATAATTTTAAGCATGATTGAGGATGAGCTATCACACAATACTTATATATACTTAATACTAGTATATTAAACTCGTAGGTATATCACAAAAACTTAAAAAAGTATAATAGCAAAAAAAATCTGATGTAATGATGGTTTTCGGATTTTTCCTTTTACTTATGCTATAATACATAAAAAAACAAATAATACAAAAAAAATACATAGCTTTTTGCCAGATTTATGATTCTAGGTCAACGGGAAGGACCCTATATCCTTGCGAGTGTTAAAATATGAGGCATAAATTGACGTATCATTTGATTGCGCTAATTTAGAACTTTGATTTTTTCACAGCTCCAAGGGATTGCAGACTTGAGTATTTACTATTTATTATTAAT